TCTGGATGCATACATCCAAAAACCATTATGAAAAATAGTGTCAGGGAAAACATAGAGACAGAAAAGGGTTATTCCAGCTATTTTCTCTCTCAACAACTTTGCTCTAACTGGAAGAGAGTCAGTGGCATTTTGTTTTAAATTTGAAAAATTTGTATAAGAAGATAGATTAGTGGGCAAGAAACATATGGAAAATCTGTTCAACGTCACCAATCATCAGGGAAATGCAAACTGAAACTGCAATGAAATACCACCTTACTTACCTCTGTCAAAATCACTATTATTAGAAAGGTAAAACACATATTGGCCTGGCTGCAGGGTAAAGGGAATTTTTGCACACTTTTGGTGGAAATGTGAACTTGTACAACTTCCATGGAAGGAAGTATGGCGTTCTCAAATAACTAAAAGTAGATCCACCATTTTATCAAGCAATCCCATTACTGGGTATCTACCCAAAGGAAGAGAGGTCATTTTTCATGTATAAAGAAAGATACTATATCCACGTGTTTATCACTGAACAATTCACAATTGTAAAGATATAAAACCAACCTAAGTGCCCATCAACTGATAAGTACTTAAAGAAAATATGGTTTATATATACCATGGAGTATTACTTAGCCATGAAAAGGAGTGAAATAATGTCTTTTGCAGCAACTTGGATGTAATTAGAGATCATTATCCTAAAGTGAAGTATCTCAGGAAAAGAGAAACAGATGCCACATGTTCTCACTTATAAGTGGGACCCATGTGAAGGATACATATGGTCGTAAAGAGTTCTAATGGACATTGGAAACAAAGAAGAAGAGAAGGTTGGAAAGAGGTGAAGGACAAAATCTACCTATCCAGTACAAAATACACTATTCTGGTGCTAGGTACACTGAAAGCCCTGACTTCAGCATGATATAATTTATCCACATAACAAAAAACATGTTTATCCTCTAATTTTTTTTGAAATAAAAGAGAATCAGTCCAAGATTAATATACTATTAAAATTAGCTTAATATTAGAAATAAAAAAGAATAAACTATTCTCTGATTAAATAAATGAAGAAAACAAATTTTTTTAAGCCTGGATATGATCAAATCAAAGCATCTTACCAAAAATTTGTTCCATTTAGCAGCAGAATCCAGTGATCACATTATCTTTCATCCTTATCAATGCAGAAAAATATTGCATTGATATAATCTAAGAGTTTATATTATACCAAACCTTGTTTACCCATCTGCTAATCTATACCATCTATGTCTTTACCTTAATAACATGAGGGTCAAACATAATCACTTTTATTGTGACAAAAACTACATTGAAAATCCATCCTAAAATTAATCAATTTGATAATTGTTGTAATGAATAATGATTATGTAATAGCATAATGATTAAATATTATGAATTTTCTCTTGACCAATAAAAGTTGAGAGCAAAAAGAAAAACAAGTTTCCAGAAACTTGAATTAATATAAAAACCAATGCAATTTTTCTAGTGGAAGCTACTTTTAATTTTCCAAATTAATCCTGATACATACTAATTTTATGCACACATATGTAGACATGGATATTTAAAACATACAACATAAAAATTTACCTTTCAAATTAAACAGTGCAATTGTTAGCTCAAGAGAATATCAAGCTCTTAAATGAAGACATGAAGAGTGTATCACCCAGACTAATATAATGATTAATATTTATTGATGGAACTACATATTTTATGTGACTTAATTCCTTTACTCCTGAAACAACTCCATGATGTATGTACCATCATTATCTCCTTTTAAAGATATAGAAAGCCTAAGACATATTCTTACCAAAGTTTACACCGACAGTAGAATTGGCATCAAACAATGGTAAAAAGATTGCAGAATCTAAGACCTTTACTCCCACACTCAAGGTGGACTCAGGTTCTTCAAAGCCTAAAGCTCAGATAATTTGGGGGGACCTTTTGAAAACAAACAACCCTCCCCCTGAAATTATTCATAAAAGGTTATTTGGGCCCATTACAGGGTCTTGGAGGAAACCCATGTGAAGGTGGAGTTTTAAATCTTAAGCTTTACTTGCTTCATACTAAATCCACTGTGATTATCTATTTAGTATTCTGACATTTTCCAAAAACAATTTCCAAGTGTGAGCCACTGTGCCCTTCCTAAAACATTTTAAGAAGTAAACATAATTTACAGTTTTTGTTACCATTACATATATCCAATTCCTTAACATTTTAAAGTTTACATTTTATCTTTTTCCATATATACCTGATTTTTAAATAGCTTTTTATAAAACCTGCATTCAATTATTCTGCTTAGTTTTACAAGACGTTTTACAATTGGATTTTTATAATTTCTAAAAACTAACAGGTTTGGTATTATAGAGCTTCATGACTCCCCAAACACCTAAAGAAAGATGTAGTTGCTTGTCAACAAGCATGGTCTTCTTTTAAATCTGTATCTCCACACTCTCTCAATCCTGTTATTGGAAATAGTGCAGAACGTGTAAAACTGCCTTAGACCTGTTGTTATATTGGCTTGTTTCTGTGTATGTAGCATGCTTTGTAAAATGTCATTTCTGACTGCATAGTGTGGTGGCAAATGGCAACACTGGGACTGCTGCTTATTAAAAAGTTCATAGCCAAATCACTGTACTCACCCTTAGTTAAAGAGTATTGGCAGTTTGTGGAGGAGATATGGTGATAAAACCATCCACCATAAGTCCACATAAGATTTTTAAGTGTTTATATAACACACAGTGGTAAGAGAGGTAGTAGATGATTCCATTTGCATGTGGAAGTACTCCAAAGGCTTTCTGTGGTCCTTCTCATTCTCAGCTACAGAGACCTACTACCCAAGTTTTCAATTTCATTATTAACTTGCCTTATAGAGTTGTCTGCTGATCAGTCACATTTTTGACGGTTTTTTGGCAAATGTTGTTGAGTTCTAGAATTCTCCATAAAAGTACTCAAGATTGATGGCATCCCTTCCAAAAGACTCCACAGTTTTACCACCTAAAATGTTCTATTTAAATAAGGTCCTTTAATCTAAACATATTTGCACATATGACTGCAACCAAGAGAAAGTTCACTCACACAATCTAAACTGGCATGGAATTATGCTATTATTTTGCTGATACATGTACAAATATGTATTATTTTCATGTTAATACTGTAGACACCTTTGTTCAATTATTTTAAAACTTTCCAGGTTATAAACACAGTATCACACTTTTTTGCACTTATACATTTGTTTCCTTATTTGTTTAATACATTAATGAAGAAAAAAACACCCTGGTGGAAAAAAATACATTTCTCTTGTAATTTGGCTTTAAATTAAAAGTTAAGAATTTTCATTTCTTAATTATTGCTAATAAATGATAATTAATGCATATATAATTCTTTCTTGTCTTCATTTACTCAATCATGCCAGAAAATAACAGTGTAATATTTGTTAAATACTGTCATTGCAGCATATCTTTTCCTTTGGGATAAAAGTTGGATCACACATATAATAAAATAATTTATACATATTACTTAGTAAATTCCTTTTTTCTTTTTTTTTTGAGCAGAGTCTCACTATGTCACCCTTGGTAGAATGCTGTGGCATCACAGCTCACAGCAATCTCAAAGTCTTGGGCTCAAGTGATTCTCTTGCCTCAGTTTCCCAAGTAGCTGGGACTACAGGCCCCCACCACAATGCCTGGCTATTTTTTGGTTGCAATTGTCATTGTTGTTTAGCCAGGCCCAGGCTGGGCTTGAACCCGCCAGCTTTGGTGTATGTGGCCCATACCCTACTCACCATGGGCCCCAAGCCTACTTAGTAAATTCTAAATAAGTCAATTCATTAATGTATGCCAAATTTAAAAGACAATTTGCAAACAAGTACCCAAAAGAATTATTTCTCATGACTTTCAAAACTTGCAATTCCAGTATCTATCAGTAGGTGGTAGTAATACTTTGAAGACATTAAACCTAGTACTGAACCTATTCTTTTTTGTTTTTCGAATCTAGCATTCTTAACAATAACAAAATCTATTTTTGTACAAATACATGATTATTTCATTGACAGTGTATTGTTAAGCATAAATTTCTTATTTTTACATGCAAATATTTAAATAAAAACTAATCCAATCAAAATGCAAAGCAATATAACACTGTAAAATGAAAGCATAGACTGCATAAATTCATTTATCATAAACTGTATCTCTTAGTTCTGGTTTTCACTTCCCAGGAATGAAATTACAATAGTGTCTGCATGAGACAAAGTATACTATTTTGTAAGTCATCATAACATTTTCAATGAATATTTTCAATGTGCAGAATTCTCCACCTCTGTACTCATTCCTCATTCTGCATATTGTTTGGCTTATGAGCTGAAAGTAGTTTTTGGAAGCTCTGACATCTATAGAATTTTCTTTAGACCTCACTCAAATTTTTCATAAAATACATCCAGGGTTTTCTTTAGTAGAAGAAATCAGAAATTGGTTTAAATGTCAAGAAGGAGTGGCTCTGAGAAGTATGTGGAAAATCATTGCCTTTCTGACAGTGGCTAAAATCCCACAGCAGTATAGCATTCCTAAGGTTATGGAAGTCTTACTAATTTGTCATATTTTAGAAGTAATTCACTAACTTAGTTATTAACTGAATGTATTTGTCATTATCTCCTAGTTTTCCTTTAATCTACATTCCTTATTATTATTTGTTCCTATTTTTCCAATGAAGTGATTAGCATTATTAAAGAACTAGAACACTTACTCCTGGTATTTTTATAAATAGTCTTTGTTTCTGGAAGAAATTATTTCCATTAATTTGCTTCTCTGAAATTTCAGATGTATTTTGAACACATTTGTGACAATAGCATTAAAATGCACTGATCCATGCTCTCATAAATTCTTAGAAATTACAATTTGATAAGAACTCCTGAAATAAGAGCTTAGAACAGCATTGTGATCAATGCTGTGTCACAAAAACTATACTTAATGCCTAGGAAGTTAAAACTACAAGTTACCTAGAACTAGAAGTTAAAACTAAAAATAACAAGAAGGTGATGCCTTGTTAAAATTTAGAAACCTGCTCTTCAGTTTCCTCGTGGCTGTCTTTACTTCTTGATTCCTCAAGGTATAGATTACTGGGTTCAAAATGGGAGTAAAGATGGTATAAAACACAGACAGGATCTTGTCTACTAGAAAGTTGCTCAGTGGCCACATGTAGATGAAGATGCATGGCCCAAAGAACAGGAAGACAACAATGAAATGAGCTGTGCAGGTAGAAAGAGCCTTTGATGATCCTCTGGAATAGTAATGCTTGATAGTAACCAGGACAATAACATATGAATTGAATAAGAGAATAAAGCAGGACAAAGCAATTATGCCACTTGTTGAGATCATAAAGAGGCCCAAAACATAAGTGTCCACACAAGCCAGTTGGAATACCACAGGAAGATCACAGAAAAAACTGTCTACTTTATTGGGTCCACAGAATGGTAACGTGAGGGCAAATATGACCTGGCTCATTGAATGCATAATTCCCACAGTCCAGGAAGCTACTACAAGTGCAATACACACCTGCGGACTAATGATAGAAGCATAGTGCAGGGGCTTGCAGATTGCAATGTATCTGTCAAAGGACATAGCCATGAGTAAGATAATCTCTGTGCCAGTGAAAAGGTGCAGAAAAAATATCTGGGTAATGCAACCATTGAAAGAGATGGTTTTCTGACCAGTTAAGTAGTCTGTAATCATCTTGGGGGTGGCAAAGGAAGCAAGAGACATATCAATGATGGAAAGGTTGGTGAGCAGGAAATACATAGGAGCATGCAGGTGAGAGTCAGCCATGACTGTGATGACTATGAGGCCATTACCCACCATTGTCGCCACATAAAACAATGAAAACACCATAAAGAAAAACATCTGTAGTTCCCAGGAATCAGAAAGCCCCAGCAAAAAAAATTCACTGACAGTAGACTTATTGGCCACATCCATTGTCTTGATTCATAGTAGAAGCCTGTATCATGAAAAAAAAAATCAAGAGGAATGTATGATTCAATTGAAACAAAAGCTTTATTTCCAAGAATCTACTTTCATGAGCTTATTTCTTCTCTATGAAACTTATCTAGACTCTTCTTTCCATCCTTCTCATTTTGTATATTGGAAAGGAATTATGGAATGTTAAGAGATTATAGCAAAATACTCATTAACTCATAGGTATTGAAAAAAAACACTTTCTTTCCTGGTTCTAGATGGCAACCCAATCAAGATAATAACATTCTAAACAGACCCACCTACCTATTTCTCTGTCTATTTATAGACACAATTATAAAGATAATAGATAACACTTTGTAAGCACTTACTTTCTGCTTACCCATTTAGTCATTCAGAATTAATCCATAAAGATAACCTTACTGTAAAAACATATACAATTATAGCACATATACAGCTCTTATATCATGGATCTCAAACATTATAGTGAGGTTTCAATGAATAGTTGCAGAACTCTTGCAAATTTCCAGAGAGCTGTTAACATATTCACAGATAAAAGTTTTCTCACTGAAACCCAGAAGAAACACAAAAGTTAGATTTGCATATATTCATCCCATGAAAGATAACTGGTTTACTATCAAATTTACTGCAGCCAAAGGAAAACCATGTAACTTTCTTTGATCATAATTTATTTTTGTTAAAATATGAGCTTGCTCCACCTATAAATATTTATAATTCTATAATTTAAAGTTTTATCTTGAATCCTGAAGGATAAATCACATCAGTTTTGTGGGAAGGCACTCAAAGATTAACCTCTTTCACCCCACCCCTGTTTGAATTCTCCTTTTATATATGCTATTATATGTAAACTCTTACACTGTTCTCAGGTCCATGGAATAGAGGTTATGAGATGGGAGTTGGAAGGGAAAACATTTAAAATATTTCAGTAGAAATCATTTGTAAAACACCTTTACTTACCAAATCTATGTGAGAATATGGGCTTTGGATTATTGAGAATGTTAAGTAAGCTTCTGACAGAAAGCATAGATCAAACTTAAATATAAGTAACTGATCTAGTTGAATCATTAGTTGTTGAGCAGCTGTAGATAAAATGGATGCTGCAGTCACTTGGGAATTGACCAAGAAATCCTCTTGCAATGGGATTTATTAAACAACATAGATGGTATTATTGAGTTCACAAAGGAAAGATATTTCAAGAATCTTATGAGAATTTACAGTAATTATTTTCACCTGGACCTGAGAGATTCTGGGAGTAGAATTTGGGAAAGTAACCATTTCAAAAGGCAGCAGAAAACAATCATGTTGTTAGGACTATGAACTAAATTAACTCTTAAGGCTCCTCCCTCAGTGACTGACTGATTGGACACCCCCTCGGCCAAAAGCATCCCTAAAAATGAGTTGCTAGCCAAGAAATGAGATCAGACATGCCTGGTCATGCCCACTCCACCTCTTAGAGATGTCCTTTGTGATTCACTAACAGGCCTATGGCTATTCTAGACCTACCTGCAGGCCCTCAGTATGCATAACAAAACACTTGAAGTCTGGGAGAAAGAAAGCAAGAAGATTCCAATTTCAAGAAAGAGAAGAAATGCCAGCACTAGGGTCAGTAGGCTTGCTGCCTTTATGGGGACAAAGAGAAAGAAAAATAGTGATTGTAGCCAAAGTAACAAGATAGTGTGAACCTACTACACTTGCCTCTTCTGTCTTCTTAGTGGCTGGAATGCAAGCAGCTCTCTTGTCCTTGGAAACACAGTTATCACAGGTAGTTTGGATCCTGTTGGTGATTTTGTCCTTGAGATATGACTGACACCTGAAACTTGCATCCTATTGTTCAGTTCAGGGACTCTTTGAGCCTATAAAACAGATTCTAAAAGGTAGTGAGCTGGTGAATGTAAAGAGAAAGATTTACATTTCCTTTCTGTATGTTTTTTTCAGATATTGTGAAAATAGAGCTCCACAGAGTGCCTGCCAGCTGCTAGAGGGAAAGAGGGGAGAGAGAGAGAGAGAGAGTGAGAGAGAGAACCAAAAGCTCATTGATTGATTTTAGCCCTTTTGGAAAAACTATGACTTAGTAATTTTTCTATGATTTCTCTATTAAGACTCACAATCCTTTCACATGTTAACTTTTTATTTTATTTTATTTTTGAGACACAGTTTCACTATGTTGCCCTGGGTGGAGTACAGCGGCATCACAGCTCACAGCAACCTCAAACTCTTGGGCTTAAGCAATTCTCTTGCCTCAGCCTCCCAAGTAGCTGGGACTACAGGTGCCCGCCACAAGGCCCAGCTATTTTTGTTGTTGTTGTTGTTGCAATTGTCATTGTTGTTTAGCAGGCCCGAGCGGGCTCGAACCCTCTAGCTTCAGTGCATGTGGCCAGTGCCTGACTCACTGAATTACGGGTGCCAAGCCATGTTAACTATGTTAATAATCAGTCTTCATTCTCCAACACTGTGCTAGAGAAAATAGAGAATAAAATCCAAAACATTCACCTGCACCCAAGCAGAGACCCCTCTGAGGGGCCTGACAGGTCCCCCAATCATGACAATAAAGGAAAATCCAGAGTTCCTTCAGGGGAAGTTTCAAACATCTGACTAGACTTTAAAAGTGAACAGACTTGCTGCTTTTATGGGACAGCATGAGAACGAAGGCCCTCAGAACAAGTTAGAGCTAGAGTTATGAGGTTTTTTTGGTTCCCCGTGGAAAAAACCAAGCATCATGATGAAAGATACCATCTTAACATGTTCTTGGGCTTTCCTTTCTGCCAGAGACATCTTCCAGGCATTCACCGAAATGGCGAACACAAAGGGAAAGAGGAGAGGCACTGATACATGTTCTCTAGGCTTTTTAGAAAACAATGGAGTTGTTCTTTTGGCCAAATACATGCGATTCCACAAGAAACATGATACTGTAGACATCAAGGGAATGCATACTGTTCAAAAGGCATGCCACACAAATATTACCATGGCAAAGCTGGAAAAGTCTACAGTGTTACCCAGCATGTTGTTGAAATCGTTGTAAACAAACACGTTAAGGGCAAGATTCTTGTTAAGAGGATTAATGTTTGTATTGAGCATATTAAGCACTCTAAGAGCCGAGATGGCTTCCTAAAATCAATGAAGGAAAATGACCAGAAAAAGAAGAAAGGCAAAGAGAAAGGTACCTGGGTTCAACTGAAGCACCAGCCTGCTCCACCCAGAGAAGCAAATTTTGTGAGAACCAATGGAAAGGAGCCTGAGCTGCTGGAAACCACTCCCTATGAATTCATGGTATAATAAGTGTACAGCACAGCACACAGGAAAGCCAAGAGAACCAGCTGAACAGGAGCATAAGGTGCTGGAAGTTTTTCCTCATGAATTCATGACATAATAGGTGTACAGCATAGCATACAGGGCAACCAAGGGAAGCAACTGAACAGGAACATAAAGTGCTATACCCTTTTTCCCATGAATTCATGGCATAATAGGTGTACAGCATAGCACACAGGATAGCCAAAAGAACCAGTTGAACAGAAGAATAAAGTGCTAGAACCTATTCCCTATGAATTCATGACATAATAAGTATTAAAAATAAAAAGGTACTGTAAAAAAAAATGTATGTTTTTGGATTGTTTTGCAGAAACTTCCATGGATGGAATATGCAGATATGCAGATAAGAGGGAACAGAAAAATTGAGCACTAGCTGCCATTCTTTGCTCTAAATGTCCCCTGAGGGTTAACATAACCTTCACCTCACTTCTTTGTTGTGTCATTAACATTAATTACTGCTCTGAGTCCACTTGAGCCCTGCCTTCTTCAGCATATCTCACCTTTTGAGGCCAAGACTGCCTGAAATGTACCCCTGCTTTTCAAAAACCCAAACTGGTAAGACATGGAAGAGTTCAAGTTTTAAGCATTTGCTGCTTGCTCTCCTTGTGCGGCATGCTACAAATAAAAATGCCACTTTCTGCTGCTGCAGCTTCAAGCTCACAGTGTCTGGCCTTATGGCGCTGGTTGAGTGAAATCCAATTTAATCTGATAACAGCCTCTGCTTCAAAATTTTGAGATCTTTAGAGGTATTGAACACTTATAAATAAAACAATCTTCTACCTACTGCCTTTCTCCTTGGTCTATGTAGCCATGGTGCTGAGGAACCTCCTATTACACACACTGTCACATCAGAGCCACACCTTCACTCTCCCATGTATTTTCGGTTGGGCAATTTCTCCTTCATTGACAAGTCCCTGGCCTCATTTGCCCTGACTTGTCTACAATATCACATTTCTTGTGGATTCACACGTATGTGGCCCCAAAAAATGACTTCAGACTTCCTCAGTGAGCATAACCCAGATAGTCTTCCTACGTCTCTTAGGAGGTGCTGAGATTAACTGCTGATCTCCATGTCCTTGATGGGCATGTGACTCTACGTAACCCTCTACACTATTTTATCATCAGGAGACAGACAATGTGTGTTGGGCTTGTTATACTTTCCTGGATTGTTCACATCCTCCATGTTCTAAGTCAGTTAACATTTACTATGAATTTGCCCTTCCAGGGACCCAGGGAAATAAACAGCTTCTTTTGTGACCTCCTTTTGGTGATTAAATTCACTTGTGTAGACATATAATTCTGGGGGAGTTCGTGTCTCAACCGGTGGCATGATTGCCCTGGTGTGCTTCATCCTCCTTTAATCTCCTTATAGTCTTTGGCTGGTAGTGTTCCTCTAGCAGGTCCTCCAACGCCCTCTTCACTTGCAGTGCCCACCTCACTGTTGTGACTCTTCTTTGGCCCAGTCTAATCCCTCCATTGATAGGGTCCTCGCCTTCTCTGCTTCATATGCTCTATTGACAATCCCTTATCTGAGCATGTTTTTCAATCTTTCATTATTATAGCCATAGAGAAGAAACTTAACACTGAGCACCAACAGTGCATGGTAAAAGATAAACATAGGAAACAATTTAAAGGAAAATTGAGCCTAATTTTATGATACTAGGTCTTCATTTACA